CGTTGGTCACTCATGTGGAACCCGTTGGCCGCGCGTTGCACACGGATGTGAGTTGCGTTGGTCACTCGTGTGCAACCTTTGACACACGTATTTCGGAGGTAACAAACTTTTGACCAAATGAGGACCCATGTTAGTCTAAAATTGGAGGTTGTAACAGAGAGATCGATCTTAAATCATCTGAGAAAGTCTTTTCAGATGTGATCTTGCAGGTAAACAAGAGTGATGTGATCAATGAGACGTATTGTTTTATTTGATCTTAATTACTTTATGATGGCTTTGTTCAGTTTGTCTCAGCTCCGTGGCCATGACACTGGGAACAGTAGCAATTAATTAATGAGAGTCGGTTACTGCAGAAGGAAACACATGAGGGGAGGGTTGTGATAATTGCCGTACCACAGGTAGAGACCATTACACGTGAGCGGGGATTCGCGTGTAAGACGACCATGGCATTATTACCGCCAGAAGAGGGCAAAATTGGGCATTAACTGAGGAAGTTAAAACTGAGCAGTCATGTTGTTTTGGTTGGTGTTGAATACACTGCCAGCGCACTGATTTGATTATCAGAAGAAGATTGTCCTTACATAACATCTTCTGACTAGGTATGTAAATGTTGGTCACTATTGCTTCATTTTATCGAGACGCATCTCCTGCCAGGCGCGTAGCAAGCCAATTTTTTTCGTGTAATCCCGAAACGTTGCAAAGCTTTATATTTAGATAGTATTGAGGGCTGATCCAACTTTATTAGCAACAATCATGTGTAAGCCCGGGCTTTTTTTATGATGCTAGCTACGCCCCTACTTGGAAAAAAACACACACTGAAGATTCAGTTATAAACATTCGCCGCCTACAACAGTTTTATACATACCGAGCTATATATTAACCAATATGAGTGAACCGACTGACAGACGACTTTATGAGTGACAACTTCTTATTCATTGCATAGACCTTATGGTCAGGAATAGAGATTCACAATTAGCATCTAATCAGCAAGTTTACAATTTAGTCCTTTCTGTATATTTGCTTCACGACTTGTGTGTGTGTTACCCGTTATCTATTATACAATTATTGACTTCTTGTGAGGTTGATCCAAGGATTTATCGACCTAGCTATGACATGTGATATTCACCGAGACGAATATCACATGACCAAGGTCGATAAATCATTGGATCAACCGAACTGAAGTCAATAATTGTTTTATATTATGACAAAAGTACTGAATACCTGTTCTTCTGTCACAAAGCATACTACCGATGGCCTCGCACATGAGGTGCAGCCATTTTGATACAAATGGAACGTAACTCTAAACCAACACAGTCACAGGGACGAAGCGATGCCTATCGCTTCCTTATCTAGCGTGACGCACGTAGTGCGGAGTTCACAGCTGGAATATCCCAAATCTATTTTTAGCCACGGGAGGTTCTTGGATTGTGATATCAACCTCTCGCGCCGTTTCGGGGTTGACAAAGCTCAAAGCTGTTGACAAAGGTTGACAACGTCAAAGCTGCCATGTGACCAAGTGGGCCAATCAGCAGGGCGGAAATCTACCCGTCATATAATAAAACTTATTGTTGTTACATGTAGTGCAGTACTGCTTGTCACTACATACCTCTCATTGCCTGGTTGTAGTCACATAAATCGCAATTTAGCTCTATGGATTAGCAAGACCTTGTCGTATGCCTCGTCCTATCTAACGATCAGTTTTGCTGCAAGAGATATAATGATATCTTAAGATCAAATGCTATATCAGATATCAAGATACCTTAAGATCAATTGTTCATATATAGTTCATGCCTTTGTATACAAAAGATGACCTACATGATATGGTATATATATGGTAAAACGGTGTCTATATATTTGTTCTTTTGGGTTGTTAATAGTAACAATTATCATTTTTCTTCTCTTGATATAACAAAGAGACAAAAGTATGCATTGTAATCATTGTAATCAAACCACAACAGCTGATCATACTTACGTGAAATAGTGTGCTCCTGTTATGTCATTTCAATGAAGAGGTTTGGTAATATTAGTCGACAATGTCTCTATTTGAGGTAAACGATTTTATGCTATTCTTAGATAAATTCCATTGAAAACCATGGGTGCAGATATATTGATAATACAATCATTCAATCAACACGCGAGTCCGCTGTCATCACATGCGAACATTACGTGACTTAACGTTATTTGTACCCAAGAAACCCAGGACTTAATTCCCTTCCTTCAAAACCCACTAAACCTAACTAACCGCATAATTGTTTTAACTGCGACCAACTTCTATTATTTCAATCAATCGCAACACTACTCAACTGTAGTAGTTGATTGGTTGATGTTACAGGCCACACACAGCAATATTTCAGCTACATTGTATATGGTGGCGGTCTGTAAATAATCGAGTCTGGACCAGATAATCCAGTGATTAACAACTTGAGCATCGATCTACACAATTGTGATACGATGACATGTGTCAACCAAGTCAGCGATCCAGATCATCTGATCCCGTTAGTCGCATAGGTTTGCTGAAGCCCAATTCTAATCCGGATCTTCACGGGTGATTACTGTTATGAAAATCCAATTAGGTCCTTAATTCCTGCATAGTAATGCGGAAAATCTGAGCATATTTTCAAACCGTTTAATCCATAGATACACATTTTTAACACATCAACAGTAATCGGGGAATAATTGAATACAAAAAAACAGCAACTGGATATTATTGTGTGATACACAAATTGGGAAAGAAAACAGAACAGACACTAGCATATAAACACATGATAATCTTTTGTCAGTTTGATGTTTAAATTTCAGTGACCTACCTCATGGTCAAGGTTCATCTTCCACCATACTGCATGTATACCATTGCTAAGGTCATACCACTACAGTCGGTTTCCTTCTGGCGGGTGTTGACACAACGTTGTGTTATTATTACTGCAGAACTAACACAGGGCGTACATGTGTGGAGCAAATATGATGGTATCTTTCTTTGTGGATATTTCAGTAATGGTAGGGACTGTAACCGTTTAAAGTAGTACAGTGCACCATCCACTAGTTAAGTCACAATTCACCTGTGCATTGCACGATACGATACAATTCATATTTGCGATTAATTTGTCAGTTTATCTTACCGATTCATATTTGACATATATTAATATTATTTTGTTGTTACATCGATATTTCATGCAAAACATTTTTTTATTAAATACAAACAGGATTTTATCAAAATTCATCTTATCACATTTTTCTCTTGCAGTTTTGATACACAGAACATCAAATGGGACTGGACATGATGCGTGTGGAAGGATGACAATATACGGATGAACAACTTCCTTGTCATAGTGAGAACGACGTTTCGGTGGCGGTACTAACACCGTTATCAAGCAAGTGATAGAATCTATACCGAAACGTGGCTCTCACTTAAGGAAAAACACATTCTATGGATAGTCAACTTCTTTATTGCAATGACGATCCATAGAACTTGGTTTCCCTTCATCTTAAAACTTTTACCTCTCAAAGAACTTATAAGTCGCTCTCACTGTAATAAAGACGTTGTTCATCCATATGTCATCCTTCTTTATTGATCCAACTTCTAAATGCCTGTCTAAGAACCTATCGTGAGAGAGGTTGGTTGATGGGTACTTGGCTGGTACTCAGTCTTCCCTTCTCTAGTAATCTCTACCAAAATGTCTTGTGACTGTGAGCTGTGGTATGAGCTTGCTACCCAGGTAATGGCTGCTTTTTGCTCACAAAATGCCTGATATGAAGGATCGAAATACGTATCATGACCTCGGTATAGAGATATGTATCCTATCATGACCCCAGTAACGAGATACGTATCGTATCGTGACCCCACTATACAGATATGTATCGTATCGTGACCTCAGTGTCGAGATACTATTGTATCGTGACCCCAGTATCGAGTTACGTATCGTATCGTGACTTCAGTATCGACATATGTATTCTGCCGTGACCTCAGTATCGAGATATCTATCGTATCGTGACCTCAGTGTCGAGATACTATCGTATCGTGACCCCAGTATCGAGATATGTATCGTATCGTGACCCCAGTATCAAGATACGTATCGTATCGTGACCTCACTATCGACATATGTATTCTGCCGCGACCTAAGTATCGAGAGATATATCGTATCGTGACCCAAGTATCCCAAGTATCAAGATATCGTGACCCCTGTATCAGATACCTATCGTATCGTGACCCGAAATATGTATCGTATCCTAACCTCATAGATCGATATGTATCGTATCGTGACCTCAGTACCGAGATATGTATCGTATCGTGACCCCAGTATCGAGATATGTATCGTATCGTTACTTCAGTATCGAGATATGTATCGTATCGTGATCCCAGTATCGAGATACGGATCCTATCGTGACCGCAATATCGAGATATGTAACCTGTCCTGACCCCAGTATCGAAATAGGTATCGTATAGTGACCTCAATATCGAGATACGTATTGCATCGTTACCTCAGTATCAAGATAGTGATGGAATTACTTCGTTTTCATGTTAAAAGATTACAGGCACCATGTGATATTTCAATGGATACAGAATCTATTTTTCCATTATCGTCTATTTTAGCCGTATTATCCGGGTAGGCTAATACCAATAAAATAGAATTATTCGGAGTAACACTAAAACATAGATTTGGGCTTTAATATTTAATGTGCCAAAATGTGGTTAAAAATGACATCCATGCAAGGCCAGTATGACAAATAACACAGCACCCAATCAGATCATGGGTAGAATCACAGCACTCTTCGTCACTTGCACCAAATATGGGGAAATGCGTTTCAGGAATAGCAAAATATAAACAATTCAATACGTCAGGGATACCTGCCTGTATCTAACAAATGATATTCTAAGATTTTATTGATGTGGAAATACCCTAACATAGAATAAAGCATGCATCGTTTTTTTCACAGACGAATATTGATCTATTGCATACAGCGCTTAAGCTTATAACCCCAGCACTTAATCTCAGTTCTACAACGCACCACCGTGTGTGAACACATGTACAACAATGCAGTTGGTGGAAGATGAGTCTGGACACTGAGGTACGTTACTGAATATAAAACGTTAAATGATAAAGATTTTGTTTTTCAGAAACTCTCCGCTGTTTTAGTCTATGTTCGAGAATTAATGTTTTGGTTTTAGTTTTTTGTTTAATATTCAACAGTGTTCCCTTATATGACGGCGGAAAATTCTGAAAATAATGAGGTGAGGTGAGGTGAAATTGGGTTTTAGGTCGTGCTTGAGAATATTTCGCTCATATGACGACGTGCATGCGTGTGTATGTGTATGTGCGGCTGCTTGTACTAGCCCAGACTTAAACTGGTTTTATAGTGCTAGCCCACTGAGATACCCTGCCACAGTGAAGCATGAATACCCCACTCAGATACATTATACTGACTCCGAGCCGACCAGTCCTTGTTGTACCCATAAATGCCGAGCGCCAGGCAGGGACCAACAAGTACCATATTTTAACGTCTTTTGGTACGACGCGGTCGGGGATCAAACCCGCGACCTTCCGCTCTCCGGGCGGACGCTCTAACCACTACACCACGGAGGCGGTCCTGAAAATAATGAACCAGACAAAGCAAGTAGTCAACATTATGAGCATCGATCTACACAATTGGGGTACTTAGAGCTTTTACATTTACTCTTCACGGCAACGGACATTCCCGCAATATAGGGTAAAGTGACACTAACCTATAGCATCGTAGTGTGCCAGAATTGAAAAACCAGTTTTGCGTAGTTGCCATTTTGTGTACTCAACTGGTCCAACTCATTGAAATGGGACTATAGACCTTTGTAGCTTATACAATTGTCGCTCATAGGTAAAACATTTCATAGTACAGTAGGACATCCAACCATATCTTACCTGCTGATAATCTAACAATACGCAGGGTAAAATACAATGTAAATGATGTTTATAGAATTGTATAAACATAATAAGCATCATTGTCGCCTAAAATCATGTTCCTTATGATAAGGGCACTACCTTTGATGCACCTGCAATTCTTTTCAGATGACTGTTTAATGAATATATCTTTATACTATGAAGAATTGTAATAAGTTAAAATAATGTTGAATCTGAGGTCTTAATATGAAATACACGCAGACATGGACTTCTGAGGGACACCTTATTACAAACCATACGTCTTGTGGTCTGTCCGTGTCATTCGTCTCAATAGCGGAAACCAGCAGTGGCCGGATTGTGACTAGAGAAATGAAATATAGACTTTGATAAATAAAAATGACAACTTGATATTGAATACTCGGTGATAGCATAATCCGGGAAATTAAAGCCTTAGGACACTTGATGCATGATCAGTAGAAAAGACAATTTAACTCCACGCAAATATTTTGACAAACTCTCTAATTTTGGTTGGTCTTGGTTTGGCCTAATAAGCTAGCGGACATTGTCAGGGTATGTTTTTCTATTAAGCAAAGTGCGGTGTAATCTCTCAAAAGCGCCACCATAGACACGAGAAATCTGTGCCCGTGCACTTAAAAGGATTATTATAGAGGTAGGATTTTCCTGTATCACGATTGGTCAAAATACCGTCACGTGATTGTCTACAAAAACACGATATTGACTTGAGTTTTATGATAAATTACGATATAAACTCGTAAGCTCGGTCGATATTGTTTTACTCAGGTCAATATAAACCGATATCGACCTCTACAAGAGTCTATAATTGTATAATGCTGTCACTTTAGACGGAGTGGTATGTATCATGCTTGTGTATCCGTTTATTTCGGGCAGCTGTATAGTTGTGGTAGTTGTATGTTATTCTGACTTCTGGGGCGGTGGGGTAGCTTAGTGGTTAAAGCGTTCACTCGTCACGCCGAAGACCCGGGTTCGATTCCCCACATGGGTACAATGTGTGAAGCCCATTTCTGCTGTCCCCCGCCGTGATATTGCTGGAATATTGCTAAAAGCGGTGTAAAACTTAACTTCACTCACTCTGACTCACGTATTCTGAACCGATAGCCAGCAGCGGCAGGCGACGGTATTATTACGTTTTATGTTACCGGTTATGAACCGATTAAACAAAGGTATATCACGAAGTTATAATAACTCCAACTTTTTATTTAAAGCTATTTCCAACACATTATGTATATCTTCTAATATAATGTAGTTTTAGGCTGTCAGTATGTGTGACTGGGGTTTGGTATGTCATATACACATGGAAAAGACTATCACAACACTTACGACTTTTATCCTACATACAGTCATTTGTATTCATATCATACTTATATCACTTAGTTCGTATGATTATTTGGACGCACAACACATTGATTTTAGACATGCAGGTGCGAGCATCACGCGTTCCCGTCATAAAGCAACTGTCAAGTTTCAATGAACTGTTCCTACAGGTCGGTAACGTTGATAAGTAAATGTTGTACCTCTTCAGCTGGTGATGACGGTAGGTTATGTTGTGCAGAATGCTCATATCATCGTGGCGCCAATCAACCGATTGGCCAGAAAACGTTAGCAAACTAAAGAGTTCGACTACGAGTGACAGCTCCAAGGCATGATACAACTCCTCCCAGAATCACATGAAATATTTCGTCTACCCCGCGAAGATCCAGGGTAGAATTTGTTGTCAGGAACCCATGCTAGTCGTTAGAGGCGACTAACGGCGAAAGGTTCGCTTGCGTTGTTGACACATGTCATTGTATCCCAATTGCGTAGATCGATGCGCATGCTCTTGACCAGCCACTGGGCTCGTGTTTGGCACAGCATAGCAACCTGTGTATGCACAACTCTACCTTGGTCCGCCAGGAGTCAATCCCTTAGAACATATTTGAGACACTGCGTGTTGCAGAACACACGCAAGAATTAATCCAGTACAAACTTTTACTGTATTGACACAAGCCCTCCATCAAGCATGGAACGCAGCACTTCACCATCAAACTTAACGTCTAATAGTCAGTAAGAAGGAGGGTCAGGGGTGTTATAGCAGTTGGTGGAGTTTTCACCAGATACTGACATTGTACTCGATTAGTCATAGATACATGCTTTCTTGAGGATTGTATGAGCATCTTGAAAATACCCGTACGTATCACCGCTACAAAAAATGTGTTCTCTGAATAAACTATAGTTTGTCGTTCTTCCTACAGGTATATTTGCCATTTGATTATTCCTGGAGACCAATTATCCAGATAGTAAGTTCACTTGGGGTTGGATAAGTTCCCTTGTTCATTTGTATCACGTTGATGTCATTAAGAATGTGGAGTGGTGCGATACTATTTTCCATGTGTATATTATTATTATTATTATTATAGGATATTTATATAGCGCACATATCCTCGCACTGGTGCATGATCATGTTATGGGGAAACTTACGTCAACTTGCTGCTTGGAAACTATTGTCACAAATCATTCGTCGCCTGACTAAGTAAATGCGTCAGATGTGGTTCAATAATTCATGCTATTCATGGGCTTAGATGATCTAACTTGGGTGTGTTGCTGCTTTAAACAACAACCATTTTGCAAAAGCATCACATAAGTCTCAATTGTTTGTAAATGCTCGATTCATAATAAGGAGTCTGTTTCGACAGATACTCGATCTTTCACTGGAATATTTTGCCAGAGGGTCAATAACATGACAACATTGCATAAAACGGTTAAATGCATAAAGGAATCAATTGTCTCCATGACGATAAAGTAAAATCTCACATGCCTATGGATTAATCTAAACTTGCCCTGTGATACAATATCAAACCAGTTGTGAATGCTAATCTAACTTCATATCCATGGGTTTAATCTAATGTTATTCCTTGGCAGGTAATCAATTATTAGAACAATGTACAGAAAGTTCTTGCTCTAGACTGAAAGATATGGGAATATTCACTCGGGATATCAGCATAACAGATCATCTTAAATGTCAAAATGTATCAAAGTTTATCAAACATAGTCGCCGTGACCATCCGCCTTAAAATTTGTTTTAAGCAGCCCATGCTTGTCGTATTTAAACTGCCTAGAACGATATCAGTATATCAGTTATTGGAATGTCTGGGCCATACTCGACTGCTGTCAAATATCTGGAAAACGCCTGAGTGTGGAGTTAAACACGAACGGAACATACATACAAAAAACATATTTTTAATGAGAGAAAGGTGATGAATCCTTTTGTTTATTGTCAGAAGCAGCAATCATAAATAATGTTTTACTTTTTCAATAATATAAAGAATTTATAAACTGAGAATCTATACCTGTATGTACTATCATTATCAAAAAGATACTGACAGAAAAAATGTCTGATGTCACAACGTATTTACTGACACAGCTGCGCACTACAATATGTTAGGATTGATACATGTAATTTTCCGCTTTGATAAGCAGGCATGGCGATGCGTCTTGTTGCAATAACAGGTCGTGCACCAAGGTAACTGCATACGAGCGTCAACGTCCGATTGTCGTATTCATCTTATGCCCATGGCACGTGCAAGATATTCTTCTTTTATTGGCATTTGAGAAGATATAAAAATAGCGCTCTGAACAGTTGAGCATGAACGTCCCTGGAGATCTTTACAGTGTCAAATAATTTATTGAAAGGTCGTGGTGGGAACTGGAAACACTGCTGGGTCTCTAATTCATGACTTCCCTGTGTGAATTCTGTTGTCTAGCAAGATGTGTTATTGAAGACCTTATTTTTAAATTTGACGCACCGGTGGCAACTCCTTTACTTGACTTGTACTATGTGTTCTCAGGTGAACTTTTCGCGAAATTGAAATAAACCCATAAGTGATTACATGTTTCCCCGAAACTGGGAATCGAAACTGAAATGTTTGTTCCAAATTTCAAACGCCCTTTTCTCCCAATTGTTGAGACTTGTGCAGTTAAATGACCTTGCGCTAAAGTATTCCTGACATATAGTTTAAAGAGGGCAACATGGCACCTGATGTACATAGGAAATCACTCAAACTGCAAAATTGGTGGCAGGTGTTTCTGGTAGTTGGTAGAGTTGCCCTCATTATGTCGTATGTTTGCTTAGGGCAACCAAATTCGAGGCTCCAATAAAAACCATATAGAAAACCTTAG